TACTTGGAATTTTAAGTTGTATATATTTCCCTGGCAGGCATTCTGTTCTCTTAAATATGGAGTCAAAGGACAGGACACCTGAGTACGTTTGAATTTAAGAGATTTAAATGCTGCTACTGTCAGTAAAATTTAATGTTTAATCCCTGAGAATTAGTAAAGAGTCAAGAATATTCTCACACATTCAAATGTAAAAGGCATATTTTAAGAACAGAAATAAAGCTACTATCATGACCTCCCCACATATGGCAATATAAAAAGTCCCTCTTTCACAAATAAACCGAAGGGGTGTGTGCACAGGCATTTTAGTTATTAGGTGCACCTAGATGGTCTAGTCTGGTTTTGGGTAGTTTCTCCCCTTTTAAAAAATATTCCTGGACACGGATACACAATTCACTCAAATAGTGGTAATGCCCACTGCTAGCTCAATGTGCCCTCTTTGTAAATCTGTGTGTACTTGTGCTGTTAGCCATTCTCCTTCACTGCCCCAAGACCAAAATTCTTTATCTGACTGCAATCCGAAGCCCAAACTGTTTTTGCAAAGTCACTTTGGAGCAAGTCACTTTAGTTTCCTCCAATATCAAGTGAGGATAATTATAGCTCATAGGGATGTATAAGGCTGCCCTGATGTGTAACACCATGGGACCTGCAGAGCTTTCTTCATAAGGAGCCATGCTCTGGCATCGGTGATATCTATAACACATCCGGCTGCTCATGATTATAGATGGCTAGTCAATGCCCTATATGTCAGCTTTCTTCAGGAGTAAATATTAATTCATTAGTTTGCCCATTAAACTTCTTGAATTGAAAAAGAATGGCAAGTATGCCCCTTCCCCCATATGTCAAGTGTTGCACAGATAGTAAGTATGTAACCACAGCAAAACAGAAGAAACCAAAGAATTTGCAGCAAGATGCAAATTTTTTTATGTGTGTGCAATCGTTTTTCATTGTGGGCAGTGTTAAGTATCACTAATGACAAGTGTTTATTTGCCTAATGGCCCAAAGGAAACGCAGTGCAACTCCAACTTTTTAAAAACAACAGTGAAACAAAGCCACAAATACCCTTTCTTAAAATGTCTCTTCATGCTTTCCATCCAAAACAGAAAATAATCAAGTGAACTTCCCTCTCTCTACATTACCAACATATTAATGCCAGCTAGGAACATTCTCAACTGCTAGTTTAAAGGCAACCTTTAAGTCCCAAGAATATTTATTGGTATCGTTGTTGACTCCAAAAGGGAAAAGATTACAGAAATTACATTTAAGAACGCTTTGCAAAAAAAAGAGAATGAGTGGGAACTATTATCAGATCTGAGGGAAGTCAGATCTGGACAATCTACTTTAAGTTGCTGCTTCAGCACCAAGTTTCAATGTTATACCTTATGTGCATTTCTTAAAACTTTGTTTCTATATGCATAGAGCTTCTTGGTTGGTTGGTTGGTTGGTTGGTATTTTTTCACAGGCCAAGAATGCTTAAGTAACAAGAGAAGCAAGAAGGAAGTCTGTGGCATAGGCTATGATGGTATGTGTGGGTTTGGGAATTCCCACAGTATGCTCTTGTTTTAACAAATCCCACTTCCGCTGCAGGAAGCCACACTAAGTCATCCTTTGGCTGTTGGTGGCAGGAGGGGTGTAAATAAAAATGTGAGGTAGTTCTTCCCACAAGAGGGAAATATTTGTCTACATAATACCCCTGCAATGTCTGACAAATTACTAGAGCATCTGCTTGCTGTCATCTATCTGTAAGTAAACTCTAAGCTTGGTATTAACTGAACTTGACAAATTATGAGCTGGTTGCAGTTCACAGGCCTTATTTTTTGATCCAGCCACGATAGACGGAGACACTAAAACCCCCAAAAATGTGAACCATAGAGACCACCAAGTATAAGAACTGCAGAAGCAGAAGCGTTCAAAAGTATATGGGGGAGCTGGTAAGAGCACATAATAATTTACCAGAACTGTGCATAAAAAAGAACGAAGGCTGTGGGGATTCACTTACAGACTCGGCTCCCACAGTTTAACTGTCACCTTGAAGGTTTAAAAAAAGAAAAGATTTGAAGTTCTAGCATAATAGAAAATGTGGCAGAGGCTAGATAAAGGAAAATTAACATAGAAATATTAAGGGCAAAGGAATAGAATATCCTGAGAAAAGCAAGAGTTGTCCAGCAAGAGTTGCCCACGAAAATGTTTAGTCTTTCCTACTCGGAGTGTGCACATTAACAATGAATAAGAAATTCATTATTGCTGAAAATATTTGCATTCTACACTTTCTTTAAGCTACTGGGCCAAGAATACCAGAAATAGATCAGGAGTAAAATTATAGTTAGAAAAGGGGAGAAAAAGTAAGGTAGGACATTAAAATTTTATTCTGAAATTATCTCTGGCCACGACAATAAAATTTAACAAATAGTCACTGAACAGTCTTACTCCTGTCATCAGCTGTACAATACATACAGTATCATAGAACTGGCCACTAGGATTAGAATCCACTAGAACATATTTCATGTTAAGTGGCGACAGCAGCATCTCACAGAAATTTTTACATACATATATACACAGTCCACATTCAACCATTTTCACATATTTTCAGTACACACAGTTGCAGCATATTACAGTCACGTGTCTAAGTTGTTGCTCGATGAAAACCCAAGCCACTGCCTAGACATAACTGTAGCAGTTGAGCTGAGTATAATTACAATTAACTTCATATATGTCCATAGCAGATAGATGTACAGCCCCTAAGAAACAGAGTTCACAAATACTGCTGTTGTTTTAAATGCTACCACAGCATTATGTTGGGCAATATTAAAACCTTTACCAACTAAATCAGATTTGTGTGTGTGTGTTTTTTAAGGTCTTCTGCTTACCAGAAATATTCTTGATGAAAAAATTACAAAAATGAATGCTCTCTTCAAAATAATTCACACTTTTAAGATTCCAATATGGCCCAATGCTACTGATGCCTAAAGTGTTCCTAACATTCTGATGGAGTCTTTTAACCTGACTCCAAACCACCCATTAAGTTTAAAAGTGGCTTAAGTGCCTTGCACCCAAATTGTAAAAATCCCTGGCCATCCTCGCTAGAGCCAGGCACATAGAAAAGGAATGCACTTTGGTTCATACCAAATGCCCTGGGATTAATCACACTAGAAAATTAAATGGGTTTGAGGTAAATTTTTACAAATAGTCGATTTTTTGTTGTCTAGTGTTAGCATAACAAAAAAAAAAAATGTCATTTAAAAAAATTCAGTCTGATGTTAAGATACAATGAAGACCATCTTTAACCCCTTAAACATAGGAATTCCCTGTGTTACTAAGCAATGGTTACTTTTCTCAGTGCCTGATGATGCTTCCCGCCTTATGGTTTCTATTAAGGCCTAGAAGTAACTGGATATTTAAGACAGATGTATCTTTGCAGAGGTGGATTCCATCCTTACTGCCCAGTATTCAAAGAGTTAAAGAGGCCAAAAAATGCATGCCCTACAACATGGCATTCAGAACAAAAGGCACATTGTTAACACTAAGGGCAGGATTTCTCCTCTATGTTCATCTACACTGTCATGCATCACCGTTGTTCCACTGTTGTAGGGACTCACTTGCATGGTGATGCACACTCTGGCGGTGCAAGAAGCGGAGCCAGATGAGACTGCAACCAAAGACAAGACGACTGTGCTATTCCTAAACCTGAAAACAGCTCAGGCATCCCTAGACAATGGTAACCTGTGAGACCAAGGACTGTTTCCAAGCCAACTCCTAGTAGCCTAGCAGAGCCCTTCAGTTAGTTATGTGTTAAAATCACAAAGGTGCAACATTTTCCTCTTTTTGACATTATAATTAAGCTAGACTTTTTGAAAAGTGGCTCTACCACTAAACACTGAACAGGGTGGCTCTTGTGAATAAATTTCATTATATTTTGGGGGGCAAACTATAATAGCGCTGCACATTATAGTTTGGCTGAAAAGTTTCCGGTTACATTTGTGAATAAAGAAAGTCACAAATGCACTGTTGACATGTTAAGAACCAGCTTTGTGTGGTGGGGGAAGACAAACAATATTAGTACATTTGTGACTTTCCACATGAATAATCATTGCAGAGGGAAATTCATATGCATGGCAGGCTCAGGTTCATAGATTTATCACTAAACGTGGAGATGAGACTGAACGCAGAGGAGGAGCGTTGCAAAGGGAAAACAGCCTTTACGTTTTTATTTTAACAACCTAAAGAAGCTAACTATCGTCAAGAGGCTTACGGTTTTTACAAAGCCATCACATCAAGTCTGAAACTTCTTATGCCTGTAAGCCAAAATTTTAATAATAAATACATAATCCTTAAATTCTGTAAGCCACTGATTGGGGGTATCATCACATGAGCATCATTTAAAATGCACATTACTAACACATTGCGCTTCCACGGGTTACACAGAAATGTGTACAACATGGTAAAGAATTTGGCTAGGGGAAAGAAGCTATAATTTTTTAAATACAGAAGTACAAATTAATTTATCAGTAACACCCTTAAATAGTAAAGCAAACATCAACATCACTATCTTAATAAGCTAATCTTATTACTGTTGTGTGGTTTTTTTGGCAAATATTCGTAGTATTTCCTGAGCATTTTTCTCCACCATCAACTGACAAAGCCTCAAAATAAGTGTTTTGTTCAAAACTACTTTTTTTTTTTTTTTTTTAAGTAAGAGAAACTCCAGGATTTATATATATATTAAAAAAAAAAAAAAAAAAACTTAACCGGAAACTTTCTTGGCCTCACTGGGGACCATGCTTTAAGTACTTGTAAATCAACTTACAGGCAATACAATAATATCTGTGCATATAAAAGAGTATTTACCTTAATTTTTACTATCCAAACCTATTTCCAAACAGACAGACATCTTTCTTTATTAAATTGCACATACTAAAAAATTTTTCACGTGCCTTGCAATTCATATATATCACTGCTCATACATTAGTGATAAAATACTGAAATTTCCACTGTGAAAATAATTATTCAGAGAAGAAAATATTCTTTTACTTTTAACTCTGTGACTTTTCCAGGTAAAGTGTCATTCTCACAAAAACCATCAGTGCAACCCAAAAGGAAGGAAAATAAGAGAGAGAAATGCAATCTCTGTGGCTCCTCTACTGATGCGAAGACTAAATCAAACCATTTACCTTGAGGTTGAACTTTTCCTCCGCTAAATTTGTTGTTCAAATTGGCCTTACGGAACAGCCACAATGACTTCTGTTCAAAACGATTTTCAACCCTCACTCCCGCCCCTCTTTTATTTTTTAAAGAAAGAATTGATACTTTCCCAGGCTAAGAGAACCCTACAGTGGCACTTGGCAAGTGGGAACTCATGCTGATCTGTTAAACCTTCTTTGGAACTGTGGAAATCCCCACCTTACGTAGCTAGGCTGCTGTTCTTTTTTAAATTGGAATATAAAACGATGGTCATAATCATAGCTGCAATGTCTCTTTTCTGTATTCACAGTCTGGGATATCTACTTGAAGGGGGGGGGGGGAGAACTAAATGCAAGCAACAGATGTGTGGTAAGAGAGTAACAGGAGAAAAGCAGAGAGGGGAGGAACAGTTCATGGAATACATTTCTAATTTTAGGTGCAAGACCAACTCTGTAATATGAGGCTTCTTCACAAAACAGCTTGCTGATCATATTAGAAGATTTAGAGGAACACACACTTTTTCCATTTATCCACCAGGTCTGGTTGGCCAGCTTTGCGACTGTCAGAATGCTAACTGGTCATTTAAACCTTGGGCATTTTATTGTTTGAGCATGATTGACTTCAAAAGAGAAAAAAAAACATCTCTAAGGTGCAATTTTTCTTAGAACATCGTTTTCATCCTGACCATTCCCCTCCCTCCATAACTACCACCCAGATAACCTACGGGAAACAGAAGCAGGACAGGCTACACCTGCGCATGAGTCTTGAGCATGGAGAGAGAAGGGGGTCTTTGGGGGCAATCACCTGGAGGAGAATATACTATGAACCGTAAAAACATAGTGAATGTCTTTGACACCAATCTGTAAATGCATGGCAGTCACGAAGTAATCAATGGCCTGCCACTGATGTTTATTACTCTGCCACACCAAATACAGTAAGGCTCATCGTACTTTTAGAACACAAAAAAACGTTTCAGAAAGTATAAAAACTTAAAGCATTGTCCCCATGTATTTTATAAAAACAAATGACTTTCTTACATTAAAATAAGTGCTGAAGAGATACAAATGAGTCAAGTTATTGAGCAAATAAAAACAGGTCTGAGCTACTCCTTTGCAACCCAATAAGGCTCAGCCACATTGTATCTTTCAGATTACCAGCATCAGGGGGGACTCAGCTCAGCTAACAAGTTTTGGCAAGACTGTCCTCTGCTGAATATTCCCATTGGCATCTGTCATCTGTGCCAAATTAGTCCTCAGTTTGGAAGCGGAGCTGGAAGGTGGAGGTAACTTGGAAATGGAAGTGATAGCACCAGTGGTCTCAGTTATCCTTTTCACTGCCATCTTCTCCCCGGAGGGAGGCTTTGGCAACCGCCTCCTCAGCCAGGGATGCCGCAAAGCCTGGCCGGGGGTCATGCGGACCACAGGATCCCATTCTAAACACTGTTTCAAGAAGTCCAGGAAGAGGGGATCATCGCACCCCTTCAGTGCATTCCCCCACTCTCTGCTCTCTGGTGGGCCCCTCAGTTTTCCCCTCCGGGAACGGCCTCCGTTGAGGACCACAGAGCCGTCTGAGAGAGTCGTGACAGTGCAGTAACGGGGATACCCCTTGGAGCTCACAAAATTTTTGGCTCGTTTAGATGCATCCAACAGTTTCTGGGAGGGCATGCCCAACAGTTCGATCATACAGGCCAGCTGGTCCCCTTCATCTTCCCCAGGCAAGAGGGGGTACCCGGTCAGGAGCTCCGCTAAAATGCAGCCCAGGCTCCACATATCGATGGGCATGCCGTACCTGGCGCCAAGGATCACTTCCGGAGCCCGGTAAAAACGGGACTGAATGTACGTGTAGACGCGCTGATGCTCGTAACAACTGGAGCCAAAATCGATCACTTTGATACCGCTTCTACCCTGCTGCTTTAACAAAATGTTCTCGGGCTTAAGGTCACAGTGAATTATTCTGTTTTTGTGCAAAGCATCCAAGCACTGCAGAATGGAGTGGGCAAACTTGCGCACCAAAGGCAGGCTGAAGCCCTGGAATTTATTCTTCTTGATGAGCTCGTAGAGGTTCATGCTCAGCAGCTCGAACGTCATACAGATGTGGTTGCGGAAGGTGAAGTTCTCGAGCATGTGGATGACGTTCATGGTGTTGTCCTTGTCCTGCTTCCGCAGGTGTTCCAGGATCCGGATCTCCTCCGCCGCCTGCCGGTGGAAGCGCTTCTCATTCCGCACCATCTTCAGGGCCACATGCTGGTGGACTTTGTGGTCGTAGGCCTTGACCACCTGCCCAAAGCTTCCCTTCCCAATGACCTTGAGCACCTCGTACCTGTAAGCCACGTGATCGTGGGGCACCTGCACGTAGGATCCCTGGTCATCGTCGTAGCCACCGTTGTTGGACCCGCCTGTCATGCCCTGGCGCTTCTTTGCATTTGGACCCAAGAAGTATATTTCAGGGTAGCTGAAGATCTCGTGGTGCTCAAAGGTGGTTAGTTTTTGCATGTATTGCTTCATTGCTTGCTCGGGCGTCATGGGGGTGGCTTTCACCTTCCCCATGCCTTCCATAGACTTCAGAGAGGTGGAGCTCCCCTGCCGTCGATGGATGCTCTCCAGCTGCCGCTCTGGCACCACCGGCAACCCGGCTTTCCCCACCGTCGTAAGCCCATTGGGTTGTGTGGTGAGCACTGTCCGCTTGTTGCTGTTATCCTCAAACAGCTGCTGCACCTGGATCTGTCCGTGGCTGTGGCTGCCCACATGGAGGTGATCATTCATGGTGTGCTTACTGCCACCGATCTGGAATGCGGAAAGGAAACATGAATAGAATGGAAGAGATCTGTCTGTTCAAATGGGATGTCTTATAAGTCAGGCCCCAACCCCCACCTTTACCAAACCCAATGTGGTTGGAATTTACAGTCCAGCATCAGGTTTACTAAATGGTCCAAGAGGGACCTCAGGAACACCCTGACAGGGGCAGCGGATATGATGCTGACAGCCTCTGACAAAACAGAGGAAACAGAGGTTAGTTGGCTGGGTAAGGCTACAAAACCTGGGATCCTGAAAAAAGGATCCCATTATATGCTGCACCTCACAGACGAGCTGCTTGCTGTACACACTGAGGGACCTTCGAATAAATTCCCTGTGGAGGCAGAGAATGTCATTCTTGCTTATCATCCTATACCTAACATTTAGCACAGGGCCTGGCACAACACAGGCTTTCCGCTCAATCCACACTTGGTATCAAAATGGAAATGGGATACAGAAAAAGCAGGAGCATGGAGACTCTCTGCTGGCTCCACCGCCCCCAGATCCTAGCACCTTTCCGCCTCCTCTAATGGCTCCTGATTACCACAGGGCGGGACTTCTGACTTGTCCACTTCCCTCTCTCCGTTGTTTAGTTAGCGCTGTTCTGAAAACACTGGTGTGTTCATTCCGGTCTTCACTACTTGGAAATCTGATTACACCTAAGAAAACGCACGATCCAGTGGCAAAGAAAACTGGACTTTTAGGCTTGAGAGATTACCATGCAGATACACACTGCAACCCCCTAACCTATTTTTAAAAGTTTCTGGGCTTCGCTAACTGTGATGACCATTTAAGGCCATTCAGCCCAACAAACCAACTGTTGCAGTTTTTTGGGCCTTCCTTTGGTCAATGGCTCAGCTCTCTTAAGAGCTGCATCTCTCTGGGTTGCTGGGATATTCAGCTTTCCAACAAGAAATACAAAGTAGCGATTTCTATTTTCAGGCACACATGCCATCCCTGAACATTGCTGTCTAAACAAAATGGATGGTGTAAGCCAAGGCTCCCCCCGCCACCCCCACCCCGCATCTCCACAGATAATCTACTGGGATTTCTTTCTTTCTTTTTTTTTTTTTACATTATCATTGCAAAGAGGTGAGGGGTGGGAGAGGACTAACAGCCAGGATCCTCTCCCAGTTGGGAATTCTTGACACCTTAGACAACCACCCACAAGTCTTAAAGCACCCCACTAGATGATTTTTACATGAAATCTTAAAGATCAATTTGTCATCCGCAATCCATCTCATTCATCCCACCACCATTAGCTGAGGTCTAGCCACATAAGTGGCAGTCCCTACCCTCAAGAAGCTTACAATCAACTTGATGAAGTCCTTTGCCATCAGTATTTTTTTCTATGATCTCTTCCTAAGCCATACCTTTTGGGCTTTATCTACCACTATAAGCACAGAAGTGCTCTGCACGTGTAATATATAACAGTTCAGGGAATGGCTTGAGATCACCTAGCTTATGAAATGAAATCCCAAGACCTTACTCGCAGACTAAGACCTTTAAATTTTCTTCCACTGACACATGCCATGCACGGTGACTATCTGAGCAGTGCGATTTCTCTCTGCATTCTTCCGAAAACAGAGTGGGCTACAGGACAGTACTTGGGCATGTCTGAAGTGTGATTTCATAGTCTGAGGGATTTTATTTCTCAGACAGATTTCTCGGAGACTTCTAATTGATCCCTCTTAGTACATACATAGATGATATTCCAAGCTAAAGTGAACTTATCTCCTGTGAGGGTAGCTGGACAGGTTATTTTTTCCTTGTTCTATGCCAAAAGCAAGAAGTCCATAAAAATGAGGAAAGCCTTAGCTTTATATAAAATTAGTATAGGTTTGCTCACTGCTGCTGTTCCCAAGCCTCACTCTATGCACCCCTCTCCCCACTGTAATCTTTTGAGCATCAGGGAATAAAAGGACCTGGAATTAGAAGTACCAGAACCATTCGCTTTAAGGCAGCATGGAGCAATGTCAAAAGAAAACCTACATTACCAGCATACATGCTACAAAAAACATGAGGTTTCATTAGGGACAAAATTAACCTTGGGGCTTTAGGAATTCCTAAAAAGATAGCAAAGTAAAACATTTTGAGCACCTGAAACTGACTTCAGTTTTTGCAATAGCAATTTTAACATCCTGCATCATTTAAAAAGCAATCACAGAAGTTTACTGACTAATACTAAAGAGAGCTTGCCCGTTCACTTGATCACTTCCTATCTTTCCAACGATCTTCTCTTGGTCTCCTCCACAGTATCAGTGCACCTACCTAGAGGTGGTACAAGGGTTCCACAGGGCTCAAGCCTCAACTCCCGTGGCTTCTCACTCCCATAGCTCTCCCTGGTTGACCATGACCGCAACCCTCCAGGGGATGACATCTGCCACATCTGCACCTCTAGCTCAGACCTGCCCAAGCTATGTCTACTGAGTTCAACACCCATATGTCCAAGCAGAGATCAGCTGCCTATCCCACGGGCAACTCAAACTCATGATTTTTCTACCAAAACTATTTCCTCCTTCCTTAACCCTCAATTTCTGATCAACAAAAGGCTACACCTCCACATAGTCACTCAAGCTATACACCTGGATGTCCTCCTCTGTGTCTCACTCACCTTCCCAAGTCACCCTAAGCCTCATCATTTCTTTCTATCCCACACAGTCTCCCCTCACACTCCTGTTGTTTTTCACTGGGTCAACTCAAACAGCCTAACTTGACCCCTTGCTTCTAAGTCCAGAATTCTTCAAACTTCTTCTCTCCATAGCACTCCTACGGTTACTATTCAACAGTGTCACTCTGACACACTGCCCTTGCTTTTGCTCAAGGCCCACAATTGCACCCATTTCCACACACAGTACAAGAACTCACAGGCAAGAACACAGATCCCAAAACATAGAGCCTAAATGAGCTGAGTCCTTCCAACGTCATCTACAATGAGCGCTATTCTCTCCAAGGGTAACAGAGCTGGATTCCCCAAGACCTGTGCAAACACCACTGTTTTTTTATGCTCTTCTGCTTTTGGTGAAGTTATTCTCATATGGTGAGGAGTCCGGGGATTTTCAAGCAGACTCATGGGAAATGAGTCCCAGTTTCACCGCTGATTAACTGTGACCTTGGGCAAAGTACTTAATCTCTGAACCACAGTGTCCTAATCTGTAAAAAGAAGGTAACCTCAGTGGGGCTATTAGGAGGATAAGTAAGGTAGTACTGAGTGAAAAAGAACTATTATTATCATCCTTTCCTTCCTAACCACACCTAAGCGGTAAACTCCTAATCAACCCTCAATGTCCAGTTCAACTCTCAGCTCCTCGGTGAAACTCCCTCTCCCTTCTACTGTGCTGATATACGTAACACATTTCATTTTACTGCAATTGTTTTACTACCTGATGCACCCAGCTAGCTGTGAGCCATTCCAGGGCAGGGTTCCTCTTATCTCTGAAAGTCCCTATTGATATAAACCCAAACATACAGTAAGCACTCATAATTATCTGTTGAATGGAAAAAGGCACGTCAATAAGTCCTTGTTAACTCACATCTCTGAATTATTCTTTTTTTAATACACAGGTTTTTATTTTTTTTAATTAATTTATTTCTTTTCTTATTGATTAAGGTACTACATATGTGTCCTTAGCCCCCCATTGCCCCCCCCCCCCCCACACACACACACTCATGCCCTCACCCCTCTGCTGTCTGTGTCCATTGGTTAGTTAGGCTTATATGCATGCACACAAGTCCTTTGGCTCTGAGTTATTCTTGAGAAGTACCTTTGTACCTTCCTAAGAAAACATGAAGTTAACGCCCAGGGAATTGCAAATTGTCCCTGATGACCCACCTCACAAGATGTTAAGCTTGCAGCGCACTGGGGGAGACCTGGAGGCAAACCGCAACAGTTACAAAGTACCTGTAGCAGATACATCAACTAAACACAGGAAAGCAACATGTGGTGCCTTAAAAACTTCCCAGGTGTTAAGAAATTCATGGGAAAGGTGCTAGTAAAGGAGGACTTTGAGTCTCAAACTCTGTAAAACTCTTAACATCGAAACCAAATTTGGAAGCACCATGAACTGGTCTCTAAAGAGGGGAGGAGACCCTAGAAGAGCCAAAACATTTCCAGAACACATATGCCAGGACAGCATCATAAACTGAAGGATCCCGAGAACGCTCACTCTCACTCGGCCTCGTGAAGCCTGAGACTATGGCGTCTTCCTGTTTGCTTTCCTAGCACAGTGCCTGCCACAATTAAAAATGTACACTGAGAAAATGCAACTGTTAGATACCTACAATGCATGGGTTAAAATGGAGAGGCCCACCACAGCCTTCTCTGACCACGAAATAGGTATCAAAAATTAGGTAAGAACAATAGTCTCACCAGTTTTGTAGTTTTAATCTCTTCCTGTGATCAAATGGAAAACAGCAGATATTACACTGTGCTATCATTTCTGGGCATTTAAGAAGTTCTCTGAAGTCATCTTAGAAATGTTGTGTAGTGTTATGGGAATAGAACTGAGTCCAAAAGATTGGAATTTCAGCTCCTCCTCAAACAACTGACCGTCTGTGTGGCCCTGAGTCAAATGTCTACTTCTTCTTCAAGATATTACTGTTTTTAATAGGAATATTCACTCTTCTTCCATTCTAATTATTTCATAAAGGCAAACTAGCACCTTGAAAATGCTTTAAACATTAAGACACTTCTAAAAGTGATACCATACTAATATTTGGGAGTTAAAAAACTAAGTCTATTAATATCTCCCACACCACATGAAAAAAAAAATCTAGTAGTTAAAAAGATAGTTATTGGATAGACTTTTAGGACAGAGATAAACAAAATGACTAGGTGTACAATAATATATCCATGAAGATAGGAAACAAAGAGCAATGGACTAAATTCCACAATTCATAATCTTTATAATCATATATTTATCCACCTACATGTTATTTACAAGGGAAAATATGGGCAGGCTCCTATGACAAGATTATTTTCCTCTCATTAATGCCCGTTCTCCCCACTCCTTCTAGAACAGCTTTTCCCAGCTGCAATGGCTGTGGAAAACACTTATACAAACCTAAAGCCATATGGGAATATAGATCTGCAAAGGTTCCTGCATTTATAATGAAATTAATAAATATAATTTCCTAGAATTCAGTGTCAAGCAGTATGTCAAAGCTAGACTCAGGAGGGCCTGGCTTGGGCTCCAGCCTTGATATGAACTGGCTGGGGAATCTTGACCAAACCACTGAACATGTCAGCTTCCTCCTCTGTAAAATGAAGGAGGAGGATCACATCAATGACGTGGTCCTTTTATACTTCCCTGTTCTAGGAAATCTGCAATGTTGTGCAAATAAAATAAAAATTAAACAACAAAACCCCAAACCACACTTTCAAAAACCACACCTCTAATGATCAACAGCATACTGAAGCTTACAGGTAAGTTACAACGAGGTAAATCAGACCAATGCTACAGCAAATCCAAGTATCCCGCATCAGGAGTCCTAAGGAGCAGCCTCACATCTGTTCCTCTCCGGTCTACCACAGGCTAGTCCTCCAGTTTTCTCTAATCCCATGACATATGTCCATTGCAGAGAGACTCTGATCAAGCAACGCCAACCCTTATAAAACTGGAATCCAGATGCAAACCAAGTATTTTTTCCCCAAGTCATGGGATTACATCCACACCTGGGAAAATGGATGTTATGGTCTCCAACTTGTCAGGTGATTCCAAATAAAGCCAAACCCTTAACAACAATGGCAAGTCCTCAACTAAAATGTCACTGTGACAAGAACATTCAACCATAAGAAACCACGCAGCCTACCGGCAGATTCTCTTCCACCATCAACGGTCCAACACAGAGGAGTTAAACTTCTGTGTCTGGATGTGTCAGGAAAGACAAAGGCAGAGAGAAACGAGTAAGACTAACAACAAAACGTTTTCCTATTAAAGTTGTGCACATCTGTCCAGGTCTCAGAGGACGGACTCCACTCTCGCCATCCTCTCACAAATCCTCCCCTAATAAACAAGTTTCTCCATAAGACATTCCCCTCAGAGCTGCTCCTCTGTAGGCTAGACATGGCCTTTTCTACAGCTCTCCACCTCCACTTGACAAAGCTCAATCCTTAGCAAGCATCCCTCATCCAGAACCATCGTAGGCAGCTCCTCTGGGAAGATCCGATTGGAAATAAGACCTTGGAAACCTTCACCTCCTCCAAGTGCACCCCTCCACTAGGCTGGCCCGCACCATCCAAGGGCCATCACCGGGAGCCGAGAAGAGGCACATGCTGAAGTCAAACCCAGCCGGCCAGTCACTGCAGCCACCAATCCTGCAGGGCTCTCCCCTCCCTCTGGCCCGCAGAGGGACCCCAGCATCTATCAGGTGCCCTGCCCTTTGCTTTCAAATAACATCCAACTGGGTGGCTTGTTGTTCTGACTGCTACTGCAGCTCCTCTGTTTGTTAATGTTAATTACAATTTCTGCTGTGCTCAAACCTGTAGCACTCATAAAACATGCTTCCACACGCGGAGGACAAATGAGGGTGCTCCCTGCTGGCTGGAGCCAGGCCTGGAAGGCTCTTTGGGGGATCGATTTTCCGGGCAGGACTGTCTGGCTGTCCCCTAACATATCTGTTTCTATAAATACCCACTATCCAACGTGGGGGAGGAGAGATGTTTACCCGGTCAGGGAAAGGAGCTCTGGGAAGCAAGGACAAAAAAAACGAGGGAAGAGAAGGGAAGCCGCAAGGAGGGAAGTTCAGAGGCAGAGGAGCGCAGGGGTGGGCGGGCTCCGGAGGGGAAGTGAGGGGCCCACGCCACGAATCTTCCTTTGTGGCTGCAGCTCCGGGCTCGCCCGAGTTACAGAGGGCGGCGTCCAGGGGAGGCCACTGGCCATGGCCGCACAGACACTGGCACTTGGACCTCTCTTCTCTGGCGTCAGAACCCAACAAGTCCGGGTGTGGATGCCCCGGCCCCTCCCGCACCCCTGTCCCCAGGCCGCCCGCGGGCAGGGTCTCACCGTGTGGGCTGCAGCCGCAGCGTTGCTGGCCCGGAGGGGCGGCAGGGCGATGGGGGAGGGCGGGCCGGTCCCCACTCCGCTCCGGGGGGGGCCCGCTCCGAGCGCCGCGGGGGAAGCCTGAAGCTGACGAACAGCGCTGTCCCCTCCTCGGCCTGGGAGCCACGCGCGGGAGGAGACAAAAGAGGGTCAGGGGGGGAGAAAGTCACCGGACCCCGTGGCCCCGCCCCACCCCTCGGGACGCCGAAGCCCGCTCTCCTCGGGGGCGACACGGGGCCAGTAAAACCGGGCGCCCGGGACACAGATCCCCGGAGCTCACCCAAGGGCTGGGCTCGGGCCGCTGCAAAGTTAGGTCGGGCCCGGGTGCGCGAGTTCGCGACCCCGCGGGCGCCGCGCTGGGCACGGCTGGGCGGCCCACGTTGCAGGCGGCGCAGGCCCGGAGCCGGGTGGGCCCGCCGGCCCGGGCGCCTCCGCCTCTCCGAGCCCGGACGGTGGGAGGCCAGGAACCCACCCGCCCGGCCGGGTCGGAAAGCTCCCCTCGGAGCAGCCCGGGGCCCGCGCGCAACAATGAGCGGAGCGAGGCCGGCGCGCCGTCCGCCCGGGAGCCGCCGCGGCGCAGACTTTGTTCGAGGTCCCGTAGGTAGCGGGCGCCCGCGCCACGAGGGCTGGCCCGGGCCGGGCGGGGGCCGGCGGGGCCCTCCTTACCGGTCGGGTAGGCGGCGGGAGCGGCGGCCGAAGGTTTCCTGGCTAACATGGCCGCTGGAGAAGAAAATGCATTTCAGGGCTGCCGTCTCCGCGCCGCCGCCGCCGCCCGTCCTGCTGCTACTTCTGGCGGCCGCCGCCGCCTCCTGGCCGCCCTTCCCGCAGACCTCCAGCGCCTCCTCGCCGCCTCGACTCAGCTACTGCCAGACACACACGGTCCGCTGCATCCCCTCGGCTCGGGCCCGCCGCCGCGAGCCCCCCGCTCTCCTCGCCGCCGCCGTCCTCCTCTTCCTCGGGCGGCTGCTGCACCCCCCGGCCCGTGCACATGCCTCGCCCTCCCTGCGCCGCGGGCCTCCCCGGTTCCCTCACATGGGGCGCGGGGGAGCGGGCTGAGCCGCGAGGACCTTCTCGCTCGGGAGCCTCCTCCCGGCTCGCGCGCGCGCGCCCCCGCGCACACTCGCTCCGGCGCCCGCGCTCGGGGCGGCCGGGGAGGGCTGCCCCGCCCCCGATCCAGCGGCCGCCGGTGCAGGCCCCGCCCCGGGCTCCCCCCAGCCCGCCACACACACTCCCGCACACCCCACCCCCACCCCGCCGCACTCTAGAGTCCCTCCTCCCACCCAGTCATCTGCAGGGCCACCCCGCCACTCCCCGGAAAACTCTGCAGCCTCGGCTGGCCCTCCGCCTCTCCCTTCTGCCATCTGCACCGCTACCCGGCTAACCACCTTTTCCCGCCCCGGCCCCTCCAGCCCCTGCATCCCCCCTCCCTCCAGCACCACCCACCGCTGCTCGCCTCCCACCAAAATCGCTGCAGAGACCCCTCCCCTTCCCTGCGCGCCCCCAAATCCAAACGCATTTTCAGCTTTCGAACCTAATGGCTGCTCGCAAACAATACTGTCCCCCTTCCGTGGCTGAACCACCCCCTCTCCCCAATTTATCTTGTAAAATAACTTCGTTGTGCAAGGGTCACCTCTGTAAGTCAAGCCCGGTGGAGGGCCGCAGTATATAGCCTGGTGACCCCCCCGAGCGTGAGCGAAGGAGGGAGCTGTTCTCCCACCTTCACCTCCACCACACACACCCTCCCGATTTACTGACGCCAAGTGACCGCTCTCCAGTCGATAGGACAGGGGGCGGCAGGAAGGCAGGCGCGTGTGGACCGCTGCTGGGTAAGCAGTTGGCTGTGGGTTGCTAGGCAAAAATAAACACCAGACACACCTCTCATTTCCTTACAACTCCGGAGCCCTGCCCCAGCGCGGCCACACGGAGAGGGACACACCTTCCTCTAAGCTCCCTGCAGCAGGGGAGCGACACCTTTCGTTCCTCTCATCCCCAGAGACAAGTCTCTCTCCCCTTTCCTTCCAAGACACGTGGAAAATCCCCCCTGCCTTTTTAACTTGCTATCTACAGCCTCTCTTCCCCTTGCAGACTGAAAAACTGTTTGCCCAACTCACACCGTGCCCTGTCCTGTGTGAGGTATATGCCTTTGTCCAAAGGTCACAGGTTTTGTCACTTCAGCCTTTGAGGGGGCTGGGGCGGGAAGAGCAGGCAATTCCTGATGACTGGGTTAAAAGCTATGCTGTGCATTTCATCCCTGAGACATGCCAGGTTTCTGAAGTTCTCCTGGGGACCTGGATCTTTTATGCTCTTTGCCTTGGGCATCTGCCAACCAGCCCCTGGATGGACCAAGTTTGCAGGCCTGAACTAGTGCAGATTAAAATCAGAAGGCCAGAGTCTCCAGGACTCCTACAAGGTATTAAAGATAGGGGGCATTGGCAGAGGGAACAGGTGCCAAAATCTTCTTGGGGATCTCCTAATAAAGTAGAACCACACTGAAATAATCAATCTAATAATATGCCTTAACGATGACCTGATTCAACCCCAGAAAGAAATAATCCCCTTTGCTTATCTTCATGGACTATCACGTTCAAATTCACTTGGGGAAACATTTAATGTTCAGAATTAACTAATGAAAAGATGCTACTTAATAGCAGAGAGTAAGTTAGAACCCATTTCCTTACTCCCACTGTGATTCCACTATGCTTTCTAACATACCACCTTGGATTTGTAAGAGCCTCGCATCACTTTTCCCGTTTTCTTGTTCAAACAATTATTGTCATACCATTTTCCTTAAAAAAAAAAATTTTTTTATTGATTTCAGAGATAAAGGAGAGACAGAGAGATAGAAACATCAATGATGAGAGAGAATCATTGACTGGCTGCCTCCTTTATACCCCCAACTGGGATGGAGCCTGCAACTAGGGCATGTGCCCTGAATCTAACCATGAACTCCTGGTTCATAGGTCAATGTTCAACCATTGAGCCACACAGGCTAGGCCAGCCATGGGCAAACTACGGCCCAAGGGCCGGGTATGGCCCCGTTCGGCTATTCTATCTGGCCCGCGGAGCCGAACGAGTGGAGGGTTCTCTTGCTCTCCCCTCCGCTCCTTCACCAGCAGCAGTGTTAACGTGGCAACGTCTGGAAACACGGCCACAGCTCCTTCTTCTGAGTCCAGTTTAAGAACCCATTGTGGCCCTCAAGTCAAAAAGTTTGCCCACCCCTGCTAGGCCCATTTTCTTTCTTTCTTTTTTTTTTTTTTTTTTTTTTTTTTTTTTTTTTACCACTGATGTTCAAAGGAAAAATATTGAAGCAATAATTTAATTTTAATATAACCTGATGCCCCTTCTCACTTAAATTATTCTTTCAATACTTCAATAGAAGCTAAGTATGCTAGTGCTTTTTCCATGAATTTGAAAAATTCTATAAGAAATTCTATAAGTTTGTGAATTATATTACTCTGTACATTAAACATTGTTGGGTTTGATTGAGCTATTGAATCAATACCCCTCCCCCAGGAACTGGCTTTTCACGTCATTTTACTATGGACATTTTCTTTGCTGAGACTACATTTCACTTGTGGTGACCACATTCCATTATCTCCCTTCATGGTATGCATAAAGAAGTCTCCGCCCAGAAAAAAAGTCCGACAAAAGTCCTTTAAAAGCAGCTGACTCCCATCACCGGGGGCTGGAGCCATCCAGGCTCAGCCACCAGGTGGGCGGATGATGGAATAAATTCATAATCCTTCATCATTCTGGCTTTGTGCTTTCCTCCTTCGGTGACCTAACAAACATGAGGACGAGGAGCACTGGGACACACATTTATGAAATTTTTTCTAGTATATTTGTTTTAAGACATGATAAGTAGAATTTCCATTTTATATTTATATTTTTGTTTCTGACCCTAAAGAAAATTCGCAATTAGTCTAACTTTTGACTATTTTAATTATAAATGGTACACCTCTCAAGATTAAGTTCTTACTGACTAAATATTAGTATTTACACTTATTTGGATTTCTCTCATTCTGAGAAATATTGATGACCTCAACCAAAATTAATGTCAAATAAAAAGATGTACAAATGTACTCCCTGAGCTTCCAAGGAGAAGGAGCTGGGTAAATTCAAAGAATTATTACCCTCAAACTTTATTATTCTAATGCATTATTATTCATTTATACTGTACATTCACCTCTTTATAAAACCCTCCCACAAATATTATTATTATGGGTAATCTTTTCAACACATAACCGGACCAGAATTATATCGATGTTAAATAGTAGCCTCTTCAGATGCCTCATTCAGTCAGTAAGCATCAGCTCTTCAGTTCTTCCTATTGTAAAAACTCCATCTGGGCCCTAACTGGTTTGGCTCAGTGGATAGAGCGTCGGCCTGCAGACTGAAGGGTCCCAGGTTCAATTCCCGTCAAGGGTATGTACCTTGGTGGCAGGCACATCTCCAGTGTGAGGTGTGCAAGAAGCAGCTGATTGATGTTTCAAACTCTCTATCCCTCTCCCTTCCTCTCTGTAAAATATCAATAAAATATATTTTAAAAATATTTAAAAAAAAGAAAACAAAACTCCATCTGTTCCTAAAATCCAGATTCAGATACCAAGTCGGTAGGTAGGCAGGATGTGGTAGAACTGAAGGTAAAGAAACTTCAGGGAACTCAGAAGGGAGCCTTGTGGAAGGAAGTTGATTTTTCACTGGGAAAAGTACTGACAACAGAAAAATCAGAAGTGAACACGAAAGTTGCTGGTTTCAAAATACGTTCAGTGATTTCATTTCTTTATCCCAGAAACACTTACAAAGAATGTATTATATTCTAGGCCTAGGGGATAGGATGAATCATCGGATGTAGTGGACTAGGTTTCAGTCTGGCAATCCATTAGGACTTCATTCTTCCATTAAGCAATAAACAGTAAGCACCTCACATATTTTTGAAATTATTAGTACTGGGGCTACACAGTTAAATGAGTAATCCCTGGTTCTGGTCATTGTTATTAAGAAGTTCACAATCCAGTAAAGAAGACAAGATATTTCATGACGCGATGGGGCAGAAATCAAGGCACAATGGCGGCACACGGGAGGGAGTGATGAGCTCTACTTAGGTGGTGCCTGGCATCAAAGGCACTGTGGTTTCAAAAACGCTTGAGTATTTGCCAGCCAGATGAGCCAGCCTAGGAGGACCTTCTAGGCAGAATAAGTTGAGCAGAGGCACCAAGGTATAAGAAAGCACAGTGTATTCAGGAAGTATAAGAAATTCAGAATCCAGCCGAAACCGGTTTGGCTCAGTGGATAGAGCGTCGGCCTGCGGACTGAAAGGTCCCAGGTTCGATTCCGGTCAAGGGCGTGTACCTTGGTTGCGGGCACATCCCCAGTAGGAGGTGTGCAGGAGGCAGCTGATCGATGTTTCTCTCTCATCGATGTTTCTAACTCTCTGTCTCTCTCCCTTCCTCTCTGTAAAAAATCAATAAAATATATTTTAAAAAAAAAGAAAAAGAAATTCAGAATCCAGGAAACTTGAAGTGCATGGGGGGAGGGGGGAAGGGAGGTGTGGCACTTCCATCTTTACAAGGTCAGGCTTACAACCGATGGGTTTAGAATTATCCGGAACTTTACCAGCTATGGAAATGTAAAAATAAGGTACAAGGTCTCTTTAAAGCAACTAGAAAAATTACTAAGGGACTGATTCATTTTGGGTAACAGACTTGCGGGTAAGTTGTGCCTAACTTTCATTAGAAGAACACTTGTTACTGATGGCACCTTCCATGTGTCCATCACCAAGGTCCGGAACCACTGAGAGAAGAACATGAACCTGAAAGTCATGAATATAACCTCCTCAGGTGTAGGGGACATGGATGCCATAACCAAACGGCCAATAGGTATTGTATTTGCCTCTGTGGCTACTGCTGGTGTGGAAATCAGAAAAGATTTTATACCATTAGAAAGTAGGCGATCTGAAGTTTCTGGACATGCTGGTCATGTTCTGGTCAGGGTACTTACGGAGCCCATTTCCTTAGTCCACGGTGAGAGAGAATGAATTTGTCCCCTAAGTTAAGCTAGATATCTGGAAAGATTAGGGGTGTTATCAAATGTTTCTTGGAGACAGTTCATCTTCTTTTTCCACATGC